ACTTAGTTATAAAAGTTTTATGTATACATCAATACAGTGTGTTTTGGTTGTGCATATGTTTGTATCTTGTATAGCTAAGCATGTGACTTAGTTATAAAAGTTTTATGTATACATCAATACAGTGTGTTTTGGTTGTGCATATGTTTGTATCTTGTATAGCTAAGCATGTGACTTAGTTATAAAAGTTTTATGTATACATCAGTACAGTGTGTTTTGGTTGTGCATATGTTTGTATCTTGTATAGCTAAGCATGTGACTTAGTTATAAAAGTTTTATATATACATCAGTACAGCGTGTTTTGGTTGTGCATATGTTTGTATCTTGTATAGCTAAGCATGTGACTTAGTTATAAAAGTTTTATATATATTTCCTTGAACAATAGATACATTTTTACACAGTTTGTAACTTGAAGTCAATTCCAATCAGAATCTGGTATTTCATAATCTGACTTCAATAATAATGAACTGAACCCAAATTAGTAAGTGGTGTAAGTATTATTAAGTTCTTCATTTATAAATGTTGCACTTATTGAAACAATGAATGAAAATTTTGTAATTGTTACAGCTCAGTTTAAACTACAGTTAACTTAGGAAAAAATTAAAGCTGTTTATAGAAATAAATCACATTTTGGAGTTTTTATAAAAGATGAGTCTGATTCATTAGTTTCTTTTAGAATTAAACGTGTTTGTGTTAAATTTCTGCATGCTATTTTGATAAAGGCTATTTTAGTAACTTTTATAAATCTTTAATAACATTGTTTTGTTTGAGTGTACTGACTGATTATAATTATTTTTTTCACAAGTTACAATTTTTAAAGTAAGGAAGAATATATATATTTTTAAACAGGTATGATGTTTTGATCATTGGTGTAATTATTCTCAAGTACATAGATTTTAACAGTATTGTGGAATGTTGATTTGAATACAGAAACCTTTGTTAATTTTAAAGTCTGTGTACTTGAGAATGATCACACAAATGATTGAAAAGTCGTGCCTGTTTAAAAAACATTCTTTTTTTCTGTAAAGCTATAACTTTAATAAAAGTTTTGCAGTAGAAATCAGCATGATCACTTTCTAGTGAAAAAGTTTTCGGTATAGCAAAGAAACTCATGTTTAAATGTTATACTGTATTTCCCATGTATGAGACGACCCTGGATTTTTTGACAAATTAAGTGTATTTCTTTGAGGTTCAGTGTTTAGGACAATCTCTATTGTCAAGCAAGTCTAGGGTGTTACTTTTGTAAAGAAATTCTTAGAAGTTATTTTCAGACTGTGCTAACCTGCACTCTGGGGTAATCAGTACAAACACAAGTGTGGTTTTTTTATGCTCTTCAAGTGCTACAGACAGCTCAGTGTGGCATAACTTAAGTTACAAACATGTAATAAACAAATTTACAAAGTTTTCATCACAGTTTAACTCATTTTCTATCACAAAAAAAAATAACCTTAAGATATAGTGATTACTGTAAAAACATATTTAGTAAATTAGTGTACATTACAGAAACTAACTTTTCTTGATAATAATATTAACAATATTTTAGTATGACAGATAAGATCAATACATTTCAAATAAAATATTTTGTGATTAATCATAACCATGATACAATTACAAGTATATTATTGTAATGTCAATGTTCTTACTCAAAAAGTAAAAGAAACAACATAATTTTGGTTAAATATGCTATTAACTGAAGAGTTCTTACTTGAACTCTATCTTTGAATCTGTGTATAAGATGAGGGGTAAAATCAGGCATTGTTTTAAGAGTAAAAAGTATTATCTTATACACCGGGAAGTATGGTAATGAGTGTTATACCATATCAAACAGTTTTAGTGTTGTACTTGATGAAAGTCTTAAGAAAAATATACAGTTTTTAGAAACACAAATGTGACTTTTTTTTCATCAGAAATTTGAATTCTATGTGAATTCTTTTTTTGTAAAATTTGTTGAATTGGATTTATTACCTGACATCACCTCAAATTATTGGTAATTTAGTTTGAATTCTGGCATACCTGTTCTTAAATGTAGGATCTATGAACATTTGTGATGAAATGGTTTAAAATATGATCTTTGGTAATTCATTTTGTAATAAATTGGATTACTTGAATGTGTAGTATGCTTGGGATTGTTACGTTGTATCCTATTGTACCTAGTATATATATATATATATATATATATATATATAGTAGAGAGAGAGAGAGAGAGAGAGAGA